GTGAATACACCCAGGGGGTCCTGGCAGTACAAGGCTCGATTTATCCCATCAGGGCTTGAGCGAGGGGCACTTCTTTCGGCAAAGCAACACTTTCGGCCTTGAACTGAAGCTGGGAGTAGAGAGGAGCAGCATTCTCGCAGCCCAGCTACCAGAGACCTTGCAGCATCTGCCAATTCATTCAGCACTGCTGGCCCATGCAGGAAAATGGCATGCTGCTGTTCCATGTTTGGAGACAGTTTATACTGGAATAGGAGCAGTCTTCTTCGGTAAAATGATCATTTTTTTTCCTCCGTGAGAGCTCGTGACTGTTTTAAAGAGAACTCTGCACACTTAAAGTTGCCTCGGCACGCAAGGATGGGACATGTGTTGCAGCCTGCCTGGGCAGTGGAGGCTCTCTGCGATACGTCTGCAGAGAATGAGTTGAAAATCAGGATTAAAACACAGCTGGGAAAGGGCTGGAGCACTCAGAGGGGAAAAGTTACCAGGGCGCTTCTGAGATAGGAGGCAGAGTATGTGCCCAAGGAAACATTCGTGCTTGCCTTTCCTTTCCCAGGCAAAGTGCAGCCTCTTTTCTAAAAGCCAAATCCAGAACTTTAGACATCAGAAGAATCACTCTGGTATTGGAGCCTGATCAAGCACAGAAAACACCTTCAGCCTTCACAAAAATACCAGATGGCTGCACATGCCAGCTCCTTTGGCCAGGCTTTTCCAGAGGAAAGGCCAGCTTGTCGTGCAAGTGCTGCATCCCAGAGAAAACTCTGCCAAGCAGCAAAGAGAAACCCTTGGAGAAGGAGGAGCACTGAAGCCAATTCATTCCCATAACATCGGATTTTCAAGGCTACGCATACGCTCACATCCAAATACGTTCTCCAGAGGGAATTGGGACCTACAGAAGTGACTCTGGCTGTGGAAACATGAGTTTCCGAGCAGGTGTGTGCATTGGAAGAAGGCGAAAATGAGCTCCAGAATTGCCAAATCATTCAAAACAAATCAAAAAACCATGTCCGGGAATGTCAGAGTAGATAATTCAGTCTCTAAATGGTGAGCTGGTCTTCAAAATATCAAATGTGAGCTTTTAAGACGGTTAGTGATCATTGGGTCATAGTATCAGAATAGTTTGTGTTGTAATGGACCTTCAAAGGTCATCTAGTCCAATCCCCCTGTGATGAGCATGGACATCAATGGTGCAACATAGAATCATAGAATAGTTAGTGTTGGGAAGGACCTTAAGGTCATTAACATCAGCTACTCGGTCTTCCTACTCTAACTCCCATTTACCTGCAATGGTTTTTGGAACAGTCTCTGGGGACTCTACTGCAGTTGCAGTCAGTTTGTGTTCATGTGGCACTGCCGTGAGCAGCAGGCAATGGGATCTCTGGCTCTCTTTAAGGAGATTGTCATGGTTTTGGCTCTGCACAAGAAAATGTTCTCTCTCTCGGCAGCTACGCAGAAGTGTGTGCGAAGAACGAACATGATCTTTCATATACAGGTCAGTGAAAGGATTTATGTACTATTTAAGGCTTGAAACCGAATGTGATGTACACAGTTTCTGCAACCTTTACAACAGCAGAAATGTCACCCTTCGTGTGGTGACTGCTTCTGAAGACCACATACTGCAAGAAAAACCAACCAGCAGCCAAAGAACAAACTGTCACACACGGGGGTGACTTGGCTCTCTGCAACAGCTCCCGTTTTCCATCGACACGGTGTCACACTGTGCTTGAGGATCAAGGATTCATATGACTCAACAGCTTTAGGCACCCACTGCCACAATGCAATGGGAATGCTTAGAAGAGCTGACAGTAACCTGATAACACACTAGAGCCTGGTCAGCCACATGGGCCTTGTAAAAATCCTGGAGGTACAATTAGTTTCTATTAAAAAAAAGTCTTTTCTTTTGTCCTGGGACTCCTGAAATGGCTGTGACACAAAACCTACCGAAAAAAGAACGACAATGAGGAGTGGTGAGATGCTCTTTCCTAGGGAGCGTGGGCTGGTAACGTCCTTCTGGAAGAACCTCAGACAGAGTGGTCACTTGATTACTACATAATGTGAGTAATTCTCTGGGAAGACGAGTCCTTCCCTCCTGAATCATAGCAAAGGGGGGAAAAATAACACACTCCAAAAATGGAAAGCTGGACAGCCCTTGGATGCCGGGAGCCGCCCAGGATTCCTGTGTGGGGGCTACCACAGAGAATCATAGAATCACAGAATGGTGAGAGTTGGAAGGCACCTTAAAGCTCATCCAGTTCCAACCCCTGCCATAGGTAGGGACATCTTCCACTAGAGCAGGTTACTCTAAGCCCTGTCCAACCTGGTCTTGAACACTGCCAGGGATGGGGCAGCCACAGCTTCTCTGGGCACCCTGTGCCAGTGTCTTACCACCCTCACAGTGAAGAATTTCTTCCTAATAATTTAAATCTTCCTTCTGTCAGTTTAAAGCCATTCCCACTTGTCCTGTCACTACATCCCCTTGTAAAAAGCCCCTCTCCAGATTAGTTGTCAGCCCCTTCAGGCACTGGAAGCTGCTCTAAGGTCTCCCTGGAGCCTTCTCTTCTCCAGGCTGAACAAGCTGAAGAAGCTGCATGGAGTCCAGCAGCCCTGAACGTGGACTTTGACACGGGGGGAAAAGGAGCAGTATTTGTATTTGTTCTTCCCCAAGTCTTCCTGCTAGCTCTACAACAGTCTCAGCAGCAGCCCTGGGGGCTTCGAAGCTCTACACAGGAGTCCTACAACCAGTTCACATACTTCATGTTCCACATGTGCTTCAACACCTGCCTAAACTGGCATCCAAACAACAACTTGAAGGTCCAGGAGACACCCTGAATCCCTGTTTCTTTATAAAGACATATATGGTTACATTTAAACAGAAGATTATTAATCCTCCAGAAAACCAGTTTGGTTTTCACTACTATGTATTGCATAGGGACTCTTGGTCTATTTTTTGTCCCCTTGCATCTGATTATTTTCAGTAGAGTTCAAACTTTTTATGATATGCAGATTTTAACTAGAACATCTATTCATACAGACCTTATTATTCATAAACGCACAACGGCCGCACATAATGTAGAAGAATTTTATTCATACCATAATCCTGTCCCATCATCCACTGCAAATATTACAATTATCTTTAAAATGTCATTGAATATCATTTTGTTCCACTTACAGCATAGGAACCCTGGTGTTAAATGGTTACACTCCTCTTGAAATTACTTATAACAGAACCATAATTCAAACGTTATTTTCCATGAGCTGTAAAGGTTTAAAGCAAAGGATCTGGTGTGTGTGTGTGTGCTTGAGTAACTTCTAAACAGCGAGGCTAATACTTGGTGTTTTAACAAGAAATGTATCTTGCATGTTATGCAAAACACTCACCATTTTTTACCAATACAACAGAAATGCAATAGGTAAAAGAACATCCATGAGTGACTGGTAGCCTTTAAAAAATACTTCTTTTAAAAATTGCACAAGAGAATACAAAAACAGTGAAGCAAATCAAAAGTTTTGCAAACACAAACATTTATCTCTCTATATATAGAATGGGGGTCTGCCTACAGAAATGTACGTGATAAAAATTGCAAGGCTGAAAAATGTGAATGGTCATATCTGGTAACAAGTGCAAGAAGCACAACAGAATCATAATAAATAGTAGTAACGAATATACACTGACAGGCCCTCTGAAAATATGCTGAAATAAATTAAGCACCTTGAAGTGATGAGAGGCGTGTGAAGCCGAGAAGCAGTTTGGTCTGTAACGACCTCTGTGGTTACAGCTACTGGAGCATTGGGCCCTCTGAGTGGGACTCGGTAGGAAAGTCCCAAGTTAGTTTTTGTTAATTCTAAAGAAGAAAGCACATTGCATGTCAGTAGTTTTAGCCATGGTCTTCACTAACACCTCTAGTTCTAAAAGGGAGACTGCTGCCTTATTTCATTGCATAACCTTTGGCATGTACAAGACACAGAAAGTTTGTATTTACTCAAATGTTACCCTAAAGAAGAAACAAGAGTTTTGCCACAACTGAGATGCAGGCAGTGCTATTTAGAGTAGCTGAGATGCAGAGCTTTGCTGCTGTTACCAAAGACAACTTTTCCTTCAGGGGAATAGCTTCACAAAGAATCATCTAGATGCTCTCACCTTTGAGGGCTGCAAAGTGCAGGAAGGTCTGGATCTGCAAAAGGCTCCATCCAAGAGGAGACCTATGCCTAGGCACGGCAGCAGCAACCACTAGCAAGGCTGCCCACGCCTGCAGGGACCTGGGGTCTAGGAGCTTCTTGCAAGATCCTGGTGCTTTTGGTTTTGCAATGTTTTTTGGAGGAGACGCAGCAATTCTGAAGCATGTACTTGGCTTTCAGAAAATCCTTAAAAGTCCTCTAAAATTCAGTCATATACTAATGAAAAGCATTTAAATTTAATTAAGTGGACCTTGTTAAAAACAAACTGTTGTTGTTGCCTCTGAGGTGCACCTGGCACCATCTCTTCAGCATTACATACAATATTCAGAGAAGTGGTTGAGGATACTGCTTCAGATAAATACATTTTGAAGCCCACTTAATTCAGCAAGGATGTTCCTGCTGGACTTTTAAGGGAGCTAATGCAAACCCTCATTTGAAAAGATCTGAGGGCAAACAACCTGGGTCCTAAAGGCTTCAGCTGAATTCTTAGAAACCATTGTCCCCTGACCTCTTCACCCGGAAGACTGGAGCAGGCTGTTTGGTTTAGCATATCCTACAAAGCAGACTGAAAGGGCTTGTAACATGGAGGAATATGGCCCCTGTATCTAAGCCACAAACAAAATTTCTCAAAAGCTCTCTTTTTCCCTGGCTTGCTGGAATGATCAAAACCTTCCTCCAACCTTCCCTCTTAAACTATGCCACTGCCACTCACCCTATGGGATTTTAGAAACCTCCAGTCCAGAACCAGTGAAAAGTCTTTTAAAAGTGACAGGCAGAGGGACATCTCTTGATGAAAGCAGCTTGACAAAAGGTGAATAAGAACCAACTTTAAAGATAATGAAGGAAATAGAAATTCATACGTATTTTAAATAGTTAAAAACACAGTTTCAAGCTACATGATACAACAACAGGTAAAAATCTTGCCTGCAAGCCAAGAGCCTAATCTTCCAAAGCTAGTCTTATCCAAACAGTTGTCTTCCTACTTACATGATACATGAGATTTGAACTGACATCCACTACGTGACATGAACAGAAAAAATACGCGTAAAATGCACACTTTTAATCTTTTTCCTCATAAAGCTATGGAGCTGCACAGAGCAAACTGCAGTGCACAAGGTCACACAGAGGCAGCTTTCCAGAAGGAATCATTTAGACGGTGAGAGAAATGAAACTGTTGTATCTCTGAATGTTTCTCTTGAGGATTTCGGAGCAAGGCCCGAGCACTCGTTCGAAGCGGGGCCGGTCCAGCTTTACACACTTCAGGGGTCCACGTGCCACCACGGTAGCAGCCCGGGGCCGATTGAGCAGTAACGCTATCTCACCTGGAAACAGGGATAAATACACTGTCACACGCTCTGTGACTCTTTTGGTGGGTGCATATTCAGTTGCTTTATTTGTAGAACATCTCCCTGTATGTATCTAATGATAGACACTCTACATAATTCTGTTGACAGTACAAGTGCATCACACATGCATAATGCATGCATGTAAAATGCCTCTGAAAACAAATGCTTTCAGACTGCTTTGCTGGTTCTGGATCTGCCTCCTGTCAGCTGCACTGGTGTAAACCAAGGAAGAGTTTCAGCTCCGCTGCTATCTCTCAGTATAGCTGAGAGCAGTGGCTGACCTACACATAACCCCTCTCGTGTGAAAGAGTAGAACATTAATTAGGACAATGACTACTTGACGTAACTCCACGTGCCTGTCTTTCTGAACCATACGTGAGCTGAATTTTCTTACCAAAATAATCTGATGGACCAAGTCTTCCCACTTCCACATACTCCTCGTTGTCAGACCTGCGCTGCAGAACAGAAGCTGTGCCCTGGGGAGAGAAGTGCAGGGTCAGTTTGCTATGCTTTAAAAAGCATTGAGTCCTGAGGATTTCCTTTTGCATGTCACACTCATAGAATCATAGTATAGTTAGGGTAGGAAAGGACCTTAAAGTTCACCCAGTTCCAAACTCCCTGCCACGGGCAGGGTCTCCTCACCCTAGACCATGTCACCCAAGGCTCTGTTCAACCTGGCCTTGAACACTGCCAGGGATGGAGCATTCACCACTTCTCTGGGCAACCTGTTCCAGTGCCTCACCACCCTCACAGTAAAGAACTTCTTCCTTATATCTAACCTGAACTTCCCCTGTTGAAGTGTGAACCCATTACTCCTTGTCCTATCGCTACAATCTCTGATGAAGAGTCCCTCTCTAGCATCCTTGTAGGCACCCTTCAGATACTGGAAGGCTGCTATGATGTCTCCACGCAGCCTTCTCTTCTCTAGGCTGAACTCCATTAATTCTGCTATGGGAGATGACAATTTCGGTTAGTTCCTTGTAAATCAATGAAAGCAATTAAAGCATAAAAAAAAAATAATAATCTGTCAGTACTGGAAATGATCTCTCTCTTACAAACTCTTTGGATGCAGACAAATTCAGCTCACTCAGAAGAGGAACAGGTCAGACCTCAGTAACTCCTGTTTAATTAATGCCCACCATGCTGTGCAAATATATGCTTGAATACACTTGAAAAATATGTTCTGGGTGGATGCAGCACCTTACAAGAGGCACAGAAAAGATTACATCAAAAGGAATAAAAAAGGCAATTTTCCCAGTCACAACCTTGGGACATGATTTTGTAAGCAACTAGAGTATTCCTCACTGGATCATTAATGGATCTGCTGCTGAAATGACTGGCAAAGGGAGTTTTTAATGCTTGTTGCAACAACAGGTGGTTATTTTTTTAGTGGCTTTGCCCACTTGTGGCCTGTAGTGATATGGACACCTGCGAGTCAGTCGCTGGAGAGATGGAATGTGTCTTGTCTCCACTACCCTTAATAACTGCTGTACTTGACACATGCTAATACATGTCAAAACTCAGTTACAGTCTATTTAAACCTTCAAAGAAGTTTTACATGCAGAAGTATTCTAACCTGGAGGAAATCTTAAATTATTGTGGCATAAAGCTTTTGTAGAGGAATAAAGTTATCTGCTTCTCTGGAAAAAAATCATTTATCTTCTGAGTCCAAAAGCATAGGGAAAGGCAAAACATTAATATATTTTAATGAAATTAAAAATATTTTTAAAAGCCATGGTCTTTAAATAGACTGGACATCCATTTTTTGACAGTGCAGTTGGAGAGCACTGATGTTTTGATGGCTTTGAAGATTTTCAGTTTGGAAAGTAATACTTGAGGGCTGATCGTGCTCCAGCCAGGATAGGAAAGAAGAGAAGACACAGTAATGTGCTAGTAATGCTAGGAAGATTGAGGCCACTTATTGGAAAACAGCACAAACCTCCCTCCAGTGCAAAGTATCCACTGCAGATTCACTGGCTGCAAACATCCTGCAGCTTCCTTCCACCAAAAGAAACCTGTGCGCCTCTGGGTATGGTGGGGAGCCTGAGGAGACACTGAGCAGCCTGAAACACCTGGGCTTCAATGCAGTTAAAAGGCACTCAGCGCTCTGCAGAACCAGCCCTTCACCTTTGCACTGTGTTTAAATACACCCTATAGTATCCCAAATATCGTCTCTGAATTGCAAATCTGAACAACAGTGTAAGACTGCTTAAGGTCTAGCTTTTGCTCTTCTAGGACCTGGAAGCCCAGGAATAACCAAAAGCGGTAGAATATCCACTATTATGTAGCAAATGTTCATAATTTGCTTTCTTCTAAACAAGCACAACTAAACTACTGTAATACCATTGTATTGCATCATGTCCTATTTCATAACAGGGTTATTTTTAAGCCCATATACTTTACAAATAGCTGAGCTACTCTCTAGATTAATTTATGTGCTATAGAAATGAAAAGGCAAATCTTATTTCTCCTGTCAAGCTTCCAGCAAGAATTCCTTATCCTTGATACAACTAAATTGTCCCGCCAAAGCTGCTGTTTTCCAAGATCTTCCAGTAAATCTGCAAAGGCATGAAGATACAAAGACAGTGTAATGAGGTTTCTTATTCACACTTACTGCAAGCTTTCAGAACAAACACACATTCATATGCAGCATTCTCAAAAATACCCCATAAAGGGAATAATGCACATATCAACCTCGCTCTTGCCAAGTGTCTGATCAGGTGCAGCTCCCTACCTTGCTACTGTTGGATGGATTCAGCTTCAGAATCACTTCCAGCCCCTGTCCTCCTCTCTGTCCCATCTGGAGCCTGGCAAAAACCTAACCCCTTGACCCAAATAGCTGTTTGCAATCCATGTCTCCCGTCTCTTTCCCAAAACTATTTTTTTTAAGCGTTTATTACAGATGTTTTATTACATAAAACAAAAAAAGAATATCCCCAAAGTAATCATACTGACTGCCCAGGTCAAACGAAGAAAGGACTCAATTCCCCACCGCCCACCTTGAGCACATTGCCATGAAGTTAATCACAGTATCAAGGAATATTGCTTTCATCTCCCCACGTGTCAGCTTTTATTGTGGCTAATATTTCTTTGACAGGATCCATTTGATATAGGACTCCAATAAGCCAGTCTTCCGAAGCAATTTCTTCTACTGTTCTTCTACAGTCGGCCTTTTTAATCCAAGAAACACCATGATATCTGTTGGAGGAGGACAGATGTGTCTGGCCTCCACAATAAACACTGGGCTTGGCAGGATAAAGCAATGCATATTCCAGATACATATTTTTCCATTCTTGTTTTAACAGTCACATAGGCTTCTCCTATTGCCCAGTGAGAACAGGTCTATCACGGAGCAAAAGAAGTTTCCTGAAAGCCTGACAGTGAGCACCCAGATGTAAGATCTGATTACACTGCCTGGCCTCATGTTGCACCAGCCATCAGCTCCACAAGTGCATCCTGAGCATTGTCAGAGTGACCTTCACGGGAAGACTGCTCACACCATGAAACAAAGAAGATATATTTATAATTATCTATCTGTATCACCTTCACTTTCTGTGTGTTATCTCTGGAATCAACACTATTCTAATTGTATTAGAGGAAGAGACCAATTGCAGACAACCAGTGTAACCAGGGAAAAAATAATACAGAACAATCCTTTATTATCTATATACCTAATGAAGTTGTCATACTGAATAAACTCAGTGCTGGCTCCTATCCTGACTCCCATCACAGGTTTCATGGTTGTATTTCATTTTACTTTACTTGTCAAATCTTTTCAACACAGTTTTTGAGCTTTTTATCCTTCTTGTGCTTTCACAAAACTTAGCTCTTCTAAATGACAGGACTGAACAAATCTCCTGAGCTCTGTCCCAGGAGGTACGGGCATTATCTGGCAAGGATTCAAGGGGTTTATCACTCTCACTCCCAAAAGCGTTTGGTCTCAGTGGGAAAGATTTCCCCTTAAATGGCACACAAAACTTGGCAAGATCATTCTCTCTGAAATAAATTGCAGGATCCTAGGTTTGCAGGATCAGGCTATTTAGTGCTGCTCAATTTTAATGCTGTCTTGTACACTGATGGCCGTTTCAGGCTCCTACACCAGCAAGCAAAGCCTACAGAGCACAGGCTCAAAGACTGTTGAGAAGTTTGACACCACCATTCAATAAATCAGCACTTTGTGATAATATTAAACTGAAAGCAGACAGGCATGTCTTTTGCTAGCAGACACTTGGGAGTGAAATTATGATCTTTGGTGGATCCAGGAATATTCCCTTTCAGTCACTGAGGAGCGCCTGTATTCCCAGGAACTGATATCATTAACCTTCTCTCCTCTTCTCCAAGTAAACACAGGCATCTTATTGCAAAAACAACAAGAGCAGCAGTTCCAAAAGCAGTGTGCCATCAGCACCTCTCTGCCATCCTCACCCCACGCACCTGCTCACTCCCTCTATCACTGCTCTTTTGCCGTGCTAAGTATTTACTTGACTCTTTCAAATGCATTAGTAGTTTGTTTTGTAAAAATTTATGGCTCAGGTACAGCACGATAATTTAAGATATACAAAATAAATTAAAGTTTATAATCCATGAGCTCCCATTCTCTCCAAAGTAATGAGCTTCACCTTTAAGCTATCAGACCATCCAAATGAGTGAGGCATCCTACAGCATAAAGACAGTGACCCATCTGGATCAACACTGAAATTCCCATGCCCTACCCTGCATGTACTTATAAGCACTAGCTGCTTCAGGAGCCCTATTTTCATATCTAAGTATGAATTCTATAGCCAGCAGTTGGCCTAAGTAGCCTGGCTACAAAAGGCAAATGTTTTTGATGCTAAAAACTGAAATCCTCTATTTTTAACTCTATTCCAGCTCAGTGGATCAGACAAGATCATGCAGTGGACACCTCTGGGTGGGACAGACTGTGCAGTGTGGTCCTTCACCAAAGGCAGGGGGTGGGAATGGAAATTCAGCACTGTTCAAAACCTTTCTGGTTTAAAAGTCAGTCTTGTTGATGTTTTGGTTTTGCTGCTCTAACCTCCCATTTTAGCAATCAATAAAAAATACAGTAACGCTCCATCTGTAATAAAGTACAAATTTATCATTACTGAAATTGAAGACTATTTTTTCTACGGTGAGTGTACGCAACGTCCATGTCTATGTCCTTTTGATACACTAAGTATACAGAATAAATTTCTACTTTTTAAAGAAAAGAATTTTCATTTTCCTAAACAGGAAGTTACTATTTCTATTTCCATTTTTATTTCATATTTTTACTTACTCTTTTTTTAAAGAAAAGCACAGAAGATGGTGGGTTTTTTCCCATGCCCTCAAAATGTTACACTTTTATCCTAGTTTTGAGCTTAGAAAGTTTTCCTAACCTATTTTATTTTTCTCTTCTCCATCCACTAGAAAAGAGCAGTGCAGTCTATAGAATTAGAGATGGAAAAGGTCAGGCCGATCCATCTGCTATTGCTAT